CCATTCTTAGAACAGGAAGAACTAAATCCAAAGGGGCAGAAAGCAGATTGGTAGTTTCGTTGGGCTGAGGGTTGGGAGATTGATTGCAAAGAGTAATGAAGGGATTTTCTAGGGCAGTGGTCGGCAAACTCATTAGTCAACAGAGCCAAATATCAACAGTACAACGATTGAAATTTCTTTTGAGAGCCAAATTTTTTAAACTTAAACTATATAGGTAGGTACATTGTTATTAACTTAATTAGGGTACTCCTAAGGCTTAGGAAGAGCCACACTCAAGGGGCCAAAGAGCCGCATGTGACTCGCGAGCCAGTTTGCCGACCACGGTTCTAGGGTAATAAAAAATGTTATCTCTTTTTTTAGTGGTGGTGACTTTGGTGTATACATTTGTCAAAACTCATTGACCTGCACACTTAAAATGGTGCCCAACTTAGGATGGATCAACTTACAATTTTTAAACTTTACCATGGTGTGTAAGCAATACGTGGTCAGTAGAAACATTTTGATTTTTGATCCTTTCTGGGCTAGTCAGCCAACGCAATCCTGAGGGTAAATAACTGATAAATCTACAGCGTATCTTTGTGCCATATGATTTTGCCCAATTGTAGGCTAATGTAAGTATTCTAAGAACCTTTAAGGTAGGCTAGGCTAAGCTATGATGTTCAGTAGTCTAGGTGTATTAAATGCATTTTCAACTTATGGTATTTTCAACTTATGATAGGTTTATGGGGGCCTAACTCATGGGAAAGTTAGGAGCATCTGTATTTTACTGTTTTTAAAGTAAAAAATGGAATGAGGTTTTTTTTTAAGTTCATTGAAATGGAGATGTCACTGCTGAACCAAAATAAACATAATGGCTTGAAGTGCTGTTGACTAATTTATTTGAAGCATTTAAGAGAGAGGTATTGATACACATGCTGCCTTCAGCACCTTTTCACACCAGGCTGGATGAAGTGCTGGAAACAATGGCAAGAGCACCAGGTGGGGGTGGGAGTGGGGGTGGGGGTGGGGATGGAGTGTGGGGGAACAGGACTAAAGGAGAATGGAAAGAGAACCTGAGCACATGTTTGCTCCTTCATGGTTAATCCACTGTTGAGCACCTTCCAGCCAGTGTGCTCCTGAAAATGCCCTGAGAATGCCGGCCAGTCCTCTGGCTGGCTCCCGGAAGCCCCTCTTTCTGGGAAGGACGGTCATGCAGCCCAGAGCTCCAGGCGAGTCTCTCCCTCCCTCCCTCCATAATTTGAGTATGACCTGACTGTGTTACCAGTTAAATAATTTGAATATGATCTGACCGTGTTACCAGTGAATAATTTGAATATTACATGAATTTGTGTTCTGATATGCCTGCGGGTTTCTCAGAAACATTATTTTGTTGAATAATTTTCAGGAGCATACTAGCTGGAAGGTGTGCAATAGTGGATTAACCATGAAGGAGCAAACACGTGCTCAGGTTCTCTTTCCATTCTCCTTTAGTCCTGTTCCCCCACACTCCATCCCCACCCCCACCCCCACTCCCACCCCCACCTGGTGCTCTTGCCATTGTTTCCGGCACTTCATCCAGCCTGGTGTGAAAAGGTGCTGAAGAGTAAATTTACTACAGCAAATATGCGTTGGGTACCTACTGTGTGCCAGAAACGGTGCTTGTGCCTGGGAGTGAAACACATGATGCCTGGCACTCTGCCCCTGCAGGTGGTGGTTGAAAGAGCACTAGGTTGAATTCAGAAGACCTAGTTCTCATCCTGATTCCGCCCTGCAGTCGCCCAAGTGACTCTGAATCAGTAGTTTTACCTTTAGGGCTTCACTTTGCCATCTTTCAGATTTTAGCTTTGAGAATTTGAAATAGTCTTTCAATAATTTCCAGCTGGATAGCCACTGTTACTATCCACTGCTAACTGGACCGTAACTTCATTGGAGCTTGTCTATGAGGTTTATGCAAGAGGTGCAAAGCCACACAGCTCATGGCGCAGTGGCATCATCTATCCATTCAAGGGTCCTTCTCTTAGACCACGATGCACAGCCTTGGTGGCACACCAGAATCACCTGAGGAGTTTCAAAAATTCTTGTTGCTGAGGCTGCACCTCTCTTGGAGAGTGGACCCAGGCATCAGACACTTTTAGACACAATCATCTACTTATTGGCCCTTCGCATACTATTGCCATTTGACACATGGTACTGAATGTGAGTATACCATTTTGGTAGTAGGTAGTGTTGCTGTGTATGTTTAACAACTACAGACAGAGCAAGGCCAGGCATTAGAGCTGAACCCAAACCATCTCTGAGCCCATTGGCCACCCTATATTTCTTTCATCCAGGAAAGAGATTTTTAGATCTCCATAGTTTGTTATTACCAACACTAGAGGCCCTATGCACAAAGATTAGTGCAAGAATAGGCCTTCCTTCCCCTGGCTGCCGGTACCGCCTTCACTCTGGCCTGAGCCGCCTTTCCACCTTTGCTCTGGCCCAGAGCTGCCTTCCGCCTTCGCGCACTGTGGAGGTCCGGAGCAGCCAGGGCGGGGCTGAACGCCTGCGTTGCCCCGCCGCCTCCATCTTTGTCATGTCAATTTGCATATTCCCTCCTTATTGGCTCTGGGCACCGCCATGTTTGTCATGAAGTGATGGTCAATTTGCATAGTCTGTCTTTATTAGATAGGATTGCTGCTTAATTCAATTCATGCACTCAACCACTATTTACTAAATGCCTGCTATGTGCCATGCACTGTGTCCTGGAGACTCTATGGAGAACAGAAATTAACCAGGTGATGGCACTAGGATGTGCAAAGTCCCTGTGGCAGAAAGGATCTTGGCCAATCAGAAGAGCTGAGAGGATGTTTATGTGGCTGCAGCAGAGAGTGTGCCAGCTGCATGCAGTGTGAGGAGGAGGAGCTGTGGCTGCAGAGAGCATGGGAGGAAGTCGCCCTCTGTGCATTGTCTCCAAACGTGGTGACTTTTTTTAAAGACGACATTACTAGCCAAAGCAGTCTGAGAGCATGGTCGTGAGTCATATAGAAGAGGTGACCCAAGAATGGCACAGTTTTATCTGGTTCCCTCCCAGACAAAACCGCAGGCCCTGCCCGGGGTTATGCTCCTGATAGCCGGAGCCAGTATGTACTGAGAGCTGTCAGCACTGGACTGCCTCTTTGAGTCTACATTACCAGCCTATGAGATACAAACTATTACTACTCCTTTTTATGGATGGACACAGAAATGAATAATTTGGCCTCAGTTACACGGCTACTAAGTGATAAAACTAGACATTGAACCCTAGCAGTCTCTCTCTCTCTGGACGGCCAGTTGGTCACGGTGCTGTACTGATGCTGGAACGTGGTGGTGGCTCTGCTTATGGCTCATGTTGGGATGTTTTCTCTTTATTCAGAGAAAATGGAAGCCAGGATAAGGGTTCAAGCAGGTGTAACATGGCCAGGTGGCATTTCCCTCAATTTGCAGATAATGGACAGTTGACAAAGACACCTTTGCTCCTATACAGCAGTCGTAGGACAGTCCACACGAGCAGAAAACAGAGGAAATGACATTGACATTTCAGGGGAACTTTAGGTATAATATAATTACTGCTTTTGAGGCTGGTTAAATGAATTCACTTGCCTATGAGCTGTCAGAAAATTGTCCTGCCCGGGGGAGCACTTAGAACCTTCTTGGAAATAGGACTCAAGTGTTTAACTAGATTCTTGTGAAGCCTGGGTGCAAACTCACACGTCCTATACTCTGTGGTGAGAAACGAGTGCCCTAGTAAGTACGTGGAAAATTACATGGAAATTGTGGTCTGATGCACACAGCAGCCTGTGTATAACCCAGGGAAATCACTCAATTGCCAAGAGCCTTGGGTTGATCTGGAATCATTGTCGTTGCCACCATCACTATCAACGCCATGTTGTAATGGTCTGTGATTACCTGGTATTCGGTACATGAACCCATATAAAAAAGAGGCACACAATCCTCTTTTAATAGATATCCTGAAAGAGTCCATAGCCACATCAACATTTGTTGAGTACCTGTTCTAATACTAAGCAGTATCTCATTTAATCCTCAGAATAGCCCTGCCACGGGAAGTGAATCCCCGTCCTTAGAGATAAGGAAACGGAGACCAAGACAGGCCAAGTAGCATGCCCAGAATCTCACAGTAGCCTGGGAGAAAGGCTTAGGGTTTGATCCAAAATCTGCTTGGCTTCAAACCTAGTGTTCTTGGCTGCTCCCTATAAAAACGTGTCAATGAGAGTTCATGTCCATTGTCCATGATGCATTGACCAGAGTAAAGAGAGGATCCTATTTTCTGCAGACTCAGACATGAAAGTCTGATTGTCAGTTGGCTGCTAAAATTCAGATGTTGGCTGAAGAAGCAACATTATATACAGTCTTTGGTCCTTCCCTTTTTCATTGAAATAAAGATTCAGCTGCGGGCTGTTTATCCTAACCCGCCTCTGAAGCCTGCCAGGCACTCACCGCGTGTCAGGCTGGCAGAGCCCATTGAGGTTGATTTCTTTTTGTTCCACAGCTGCAGAACCAGGAGCTGCTGAGGGCGATGGTGAAGAAGGCTGAGCTGGAAATCAGCGGCAGAGTGATTGAAATGATGAAGAGGCTGGAGGACCCTGTGCAGCGCCAGCGTGTCCTGGTGGAGCAAGAGAGACAGAAGTACCTGCAGGAAGAGGAGAAGATCGTCAAGAAGTTATGGTGAGTGCCTGTCGCCTGTTGTGTGTTTAGCTGTTTAACCAGAGAAGGAAACCTGACTTTGCCAAGGAGGAGGCCCTTCCTAGATGGCGTTCTCCCCCTCTCCCTTTATTGAGCACCTACTATGTACAAGCTAGAGTTCTGTGGTTCTGGGCTGTCCATGGACTCTTGGTGCCCCCCCCTCCCCCCACCACCACCACCACCAGTCCAGGCCCAAGGAATTCAGCAATCCTCAGGTACCTGAGCTGGTCTCTTTAAGGGTGGGAACATCACACTCTTCGGTAGGGCTCAGCAACACAGAATTAAAAGGAGCAAATGGCAAAACCCAATGATGAATGGGAAGTCTGCATTTAATATCAATAAATCAAAACTAATTGTCAAAATAACAGCGCACTAAAATTGTCTTCCTATTATTCAACTATAGTTAAAGTCACAAAAGAAGAATTTAAATGTAAAGTATGTCTGATGCAGAGGAGAGATGCTTCCTTGAAAGCTCCCAGTCTTCTGTGAGGTTCTGATTGAAAGCATCTATCAAGCCCCCCCATTGAAGTGAGCAGTTTTATTACTCCCCGGTCACTAGGGCAGGCACATCTTTTATATTAATGCATGTCTTGTTATGCAATGGAGATTTATCACAGAAATATTTTACCTTTTAATATAATGAATAGTAATTTCTGCGGTTCTTCTAGTGTTGGCAATCCTCTTGCTTCTTGGAAAGCTTAAACCTTCCAAATTGGAATTGTAAGGGAGCAACTTCCAAATTCTTTGTATGACCAGAACCCCTAGAAGTCTCCGTGATGGAAAGCACTGTGCTTGGTCTCCTATTGGATATTTGGGCTGCAGCTTACCTCACCTCAGATGCCAACCCAATGGGTCTGATTGAAATTAGAATGTCACTCTCAGTGGCAGTCTGAGAAAAAAAAACTGTTTCCGTTATTATTTTTCAAAGAAATCAAATTTGACCACTGTTCATCGCCATCTCAAAATGTTTTATTTAGTTCAGACATTTATAACTAGTTAATCTCTCACCGTGCAGCAGTGAGGCTATTATCTGTCTAAAATGATTTTGTGACAGCCCAGCCGCTTAAAACTAGGTCTCAGGATTTTTCTTGAAAACTTCTTTTAAGATATATAGCCTTTTAGTGTTTTATACATTTTCCAAATAAATTATGAAAAGTAAATTTCCTCCTTTCAAATTTTGTATTTATTGGTTAGCTGAGATAATTCTTGCTTCTTGACTAAAATAAGGCATCTTTAATCTCAATATTATCCTGAGACTAGTAGGCCAGCATAGGAATGATATGCAGGGGAGTGGAACCAACATATCATGAGAAACATCAACCAGCTGCCTCCTGCACATCTCCCACTGGGGATGTGCCCGCAACCCAGGTACATGCCCTTGACCGGAATCGAACCCGGGACCCCTCAGTCCGCAGGCCGACGCTCTATCCACTGAGCCAAACCGGTTTCGGCAAAATAAGGCATCTTTAATCTCAATATTATCCTGAGACTAGTAGGCCAGCATAGAAATGAGATATGCAGGGGAGTGGAACCAACATATCATGAGAGGACTTCACCTTGGCTTTGTGGGATGGCCATACATGAATAGGTTGTGCACAGCCACTAGAGGAAATTCAGTCTGGCAAAACAGGACATAGCAGTATGTGTATAGCACAAAACAGGTGGTTTACCGGTGCCAGGTTAACCTATACAAAGGCTTCGAGCCCCAGGAACCAGGGACACTTAACCTGAAATGATTCTTCATGTGGCTCCAGGCCAAGCACAGTACCATGTGCATAGTAGGGCTTCACAAAAGTGTGTTAAACTGAACTGAAATGGTCTTGAGGACTGGTGAGGTTTCATCAGTGGAGGGGGGACCCCCCAAGTAGAGGAACCCTACAAACCAGTAAGTCTTAGGACCAGGAAGGCAGAAGACATCCTTGGACAATGAGAGTAGTCCAGCTGGGTGGAGCGTGGATACAAGATACTAATCATGTCTCATGTTTGGGTCGTGCTATTTCTGTTTGCGTGGTACCTCCCCATATCTAGACCATGCTCATGCCCAGCATGCCTGCTGGACGTCTGTTTGTTCTGTGTTTACCGAGATTGGAAGATCACGTAACTGGATTTCTGGCTTTTCATGAAAGTTCCTGGGTCCAGCCCCTGGTTCAGGATTTCCCAGGATGGAGCTTAGGGCTGTGCATTTTACACAGATACAGGGGAGATTTTGAATCATCTTCCCATTTGGGAGTTTCTGCCTGGCCTGATGAGGTCACCGAAGCTTTTTTGATCAAGAAAGTAACAGATTCCAAGCTGTATTTCAGGTGGATCCCTCTGGCCATCGCATGCAGAGCTGATTGAGGGAGAGAGAAATTGTCTAAGACAGTGGTCACGAACTGGTGGTCTGAGGACCCCTGGTGGTCCATGAGGTCCAAAAGGTTGGCGACCACTGGTTTAAGGAAACCTTTGGAGCAGCGGTCGCCAACCGGTGGTCCATGGACCCCTGGTGGTCTGTGAGGCCTGAAAGGTTGGCGACCGCTGGTCTAAGAAATCATATTGGAACTGACTTTAACAGTCCAGACAAAAGTCAGTAAGAGCTGAATCAAGCAGTAGAAATAGGAATGAGAAAATAAATCAAATGCAAAAGGGACTGATTGGATGGATCAGAGTGGTTACAAAAGACAGCTGGAAATTTCAACTCCGGAACCTAAGGAAAACAGTTATACCTGCCTCTCCCCCTTTCCTGCACCCCCCAACTCTCCTCCTCTCCCTGACCCTCCTCCTCCTGACCTTTCTCCTTACATGAGTGCATGTGCACACACACACACTCACTCACACACACATACACGCACACATGCTCACACACGCACTCACACACTCAATCACACACTCCCACACACATTCATACACACGCACCCACACACACACGCGCGCGCACACACACACACACACACACACACACGAAAATAAGTTCCCTTGGGGATCAAGTTAGGGCAAGTTGTTGGTGAGCCATTCAAATGGCAGAAAAATAGAATTTGGGCCTGGCAACTATGGAGAGAAATTGGATCAAAAGAATTTCTCTTTGGTGGGTTTCCATGTGGAAATAATAATTGGGCTTCTGATAACAGTCAAATGAAATATATTTCAACAAATTAATACTTCTTTTTAACCAAGGCAGAATGAAAAGCAACATCAACAAATAGAATGGATTTACCTATAAACCATAGCATCTGTGAACACCTGGCATTCTTTTGAGCAGAGTTAATATCCCAAAAGTCATATTAATTACTATAATATTAAAAAATTATTTTCAGCATTCATTTTAGCTCCATGGTCTCCTTTTACATTTTGGGTGAACCAATTTTTTCTGCATGCTTTATCTATGATAGAAGTTTATGAAGAGAAGCGATATTGTTGTGTACAACAATTTCAGTACACATTTCTCTATGTTCCATGATCAACACAGGAAAAACTGACATGTAAGGCTCCACTGTGTTGGACCCTTACAAGTGTTTATAAGCAGCTGATGCAAGGTTATAAAATCCAAGAGTCACATTGTATGGAAGAGATTCAAATAGAATTTTAGGCTGACTGCTCAGATGACAGCTCCTTAGAGTATTAATTGCAACCTGGCCAGCTGCAGGATTGTTAATGGAACCATGATAACATTTGGGTCCTAGCTCTTCTATCAAAGCTTAGGAGGACTGGACAGCGTGTCTAATCTACACATTCAAATAATTCTGTTTGGTTATGAAGTGAAAAATGACTTTTCCTCACATATTTAGAACTCTTTTGAGAGATGGTACACATCCTCTCCACCTCGGGGTGCAGGAGATGTGGGAACATCCCAGTGGGTTCACATAAAAGGTATCTGTCCATCATTTGTGAATGTGGACAGTGAGAAGATGGCTTTGCATTTTGGTCCTGAAGTTGCATCATCTTATCTGAAGGGATCATAGGCACTTTTGGTCCATTTTCCATAACAGAGTGAAAGACATCAGCAAAATCTTCACCCCACTTCTCGGAGGTGGATGAATTTGCTGCTTGCCCCATGGTCCTTATTGAACATGTGCGCCATCCTGCCTGAATCGCTCTCACAACTGTCGTGCCATCCGTAACTTCATCCTCTCGTCCACCTGGTGCGAGGGTCTTAGCGGGCCATCTTTCTGCAAATACTGCCTTTTCCCCCCCTGCTGCTGCCTGCTCCACAGGCTCAGGACTCCACCAAGTAACAGCTGTTCACTTACTGCCGCCCAGTGGCTCTTCATCTCAAAGTTCTTTCCCCTTTTCTTTACGAGGGGTGGTTGTTAGATTTACAGGCAAACTGAAATCATACAAACGTGGCTTAGGAGGGGGTTATTAATGTTCCCAGGTGACAGGATGTTTGTTTTTGTTTGTTTGTTTTGGAAGTGAAAGGCCTTAATTCTTTTGGAGCAGGCAGTACCCTAAGGTGTGTGTGCGCATATGAGGGTGCGTGAGTGTGTGTGTGTGTGTGTGTGTGTGAATCAGGTCTGGATCATTTTTTCTCTTTGTAGCTCAGAAAGGAGTCAGTCCTTATTGATGGGACAATCAGTATAAACCAGAGGTTGGATCAGGGCAAGTTTGCTCCCCTCCCCCAAGGACATTTAATGCCTGGAGACATTCTTGTTTGTCACAAAGTGGGGGAAGTGCTACTGGCACCGAGTGCACAGAGACAGGGGTGCTGCCAAACACCCTCAAATGTCCAGGACAGGCCCCACTACAGAGAATTATCTTGTCCAAAAGGTCAAGTGCCAAGGTTGAGAAGCCTGATCTGGGCTCCTCATTTTACTCCACTACAGCATTCTCTGTCTCTCTCTCTCTCTCTCTCTCTCTCTCTCTCTCCCTGCTCGCTCTCTCTCTCTCTCTCCCTGCTCTCTCTCTCTCTCTCTCTCTCTCTCCCTGCTCTCGCTCTCTCTCTCTCTTTCCTTCCTCTCTCTCTCTCTCTCTCTCTCTCTCTCTATTGACAATGGCAGTAACCCGGATGTAATTGGCCTGAGATTTCTTTAGGATGAAGAGTGGGTCCTTTGTCAGCCAGCTGCCATCTTTCCTGCGGCCACCTGGGCCACGCCACAAACAGGCCCTGGGTAAACTTGCCTGCACCTACGCTCACATGTGCTCCACCATCTGGGCGGAAGGCGAGGTGGGCGGGGACACAGTACACAGTGGGAGCCCAGGTGAGCCCCGTGCCCCTGCGCCGGTGCTTTGTCGGCCCTCGGTGTTCACGCTCTGTGGTCTGCTCACCCCCAGTGAGCTGGAGGACCTGGTTGAAGACCTGAAGAAGGACTCTGCATCGGCCGGCCGAGTGGTCACCTTAAAAGACGTGGAAGATGGGGCGTTCCTCCTGCGACAAGTGGGAGAAGCGGTAGCTTCCCTGAAAGGTGAGCTTCCTCGGGGTTATGTCCCCCAGGGAGGGCCTCGTTCACTCACTCATTCACTCATGCATGCCGGGGTCCGCCAGACACCTCCAGGTGTCAGGCACGTGGGACCCAACCCTGAACAAGAGGCAGGCCTTCCTGTCTTCTTGAAGCTTATACTGTAGTGGGTGCTGACAGATTTAGGACTAAATAATAATACAGTTCCTCACTGGACTCTTACCACACACCAGCACCTGTGCCAAATTCAGTAAACACAACCCCAAGGGACAGCTGGCCTTATCCCAAGTTCACAGCCAGGAAAGGAGGCCCAGGGGAGCTCTGCCCCTGGCCATGGCCATCTGTCCGCCACTTCTTCTCCCTGAAGATGTGTGAACGGCGCTGTGGCTGGTGAACCCCACGTACTGCACCCTATCCAGGGTCGGGTGCAGGGTGGGGGGTTGCTGTCCTGACTTTTTCTCCCACAACTCACGCACTGCTCTTGGCCACAGGAGAATTCCCGACCTTACAAAACAAGATGCGAGCCATCCTGCGCATAGAGGTGGAGGCCGTGCGGTTCCTGAAGGAGGAGCCGCACCGGCTGGACAGTCTCCTGCAGAGAGTGCGGAGCATGACCGACACCCTGACCCTGCTGCGGAGGTGACCGCACTGTGGGCGTGCAGAGGGCGGGGCGGGGGTGGGGGTGTTGGGAGGGTTGGGGGTCTATGGTTTGGACTCCCAGGCTTCCTCTGTGCTCCTGGGACCTGGGACGTAGCACATCTTACTTCCTGTGCCCTGAGGAGAAGCCGCAGTCCCTTCCCACCTGGAACTTCCGTTGTGCGCATGACTTGAGGTCCTGATCCTTCAGCAGGTTCCTGCTGCATCCAGCACGAGCTTGGGCTTGCAATTCACTAGTCAACTCAGTCAACATTTTAAGAAAATCATTTGAAGGTGGTTCCTTCCAATAACATTTTGAAGTTGAAGAATGGATCAAAATGTAATATTAGCCTCCTTCACTTCAGGGGCATAGATGACTTCAGTTCAAAGAAAATGAGTAGAAATAAAGCCTTTTTTGAGTTTCCTACTGAAAGAGTATCTGAGAGGTGTTGATCCCATCTGGAAAAGAGAAACAAACCTCCTTGCGTGGCACAGCCAGTCACCCTTGCCTGCCCATAAAAGAGGGTCACAGAAGAAGAAAAACTAAACTAAATCACTGAATCACCCAGGACTTTCATTGAGAAGAAAATTCCTGAACTCTATGCTCACATAGAAAGTGCTGACATATATGCAGGATTGTGTTGCCAGAAGCACCTTTATAAATGCCGTCTCATGTACTCTGTCTTGGGTGACAATTAGATCTCTTTCTTCTCAGCACACTCATAACAATAGCTCATGTCAGTGAGCACTTCCTATGTTCCAGGCACTGAACTAAGCCTTTGTAAATATTAGCTCACTCTGTCCTAACTTGCAACCCTATGTGGCAGGCATTCTCATTCCCATTGTCTAGAGAAAATCTGAGCTTCGAGGAAGTTCACTGGAAGTCAGAGGTGGGGCCAGGATAGGAACTGATAGGTTGACTCCAGCAAGCAGAGTTGGTTCTGATCTCACACCCAGGCAGTCAGCAATGTTTGGACAGTCTGCCTGTCCAGCCTGGTATTGGATGTCAAGAATCCTATATAATAAAAGGCTAATATGCAAATCAACCGAACGGCAGAATGACTGGTCGCTATGATGCGCACTGACTACCAGGGGGCAGACGCTCAATGCAGGAGCTGCCCCCTGGTGGTCAGTGCGCTCCCACAGGGGGAGCACCGCTTAGCCAGAAGCCCAGAAGCTGGGCTCACAGGCCTAAGCCATCAGTCGGACATCCCCTGAGGGCTCCCAGACTGTGAGAGGGTGCAGGCTGGGCTGAGAGACCCTCTCCCCCCTCCCCACCCCCCTGCATGAATTTTGTGCACCGGGCCTCTAGTATAATAATAAAGACAAACAGGAACCCTGCCCTTATATAACATTCTCACATGGGAAGTAGACACAACTACCAAAACTAAACCAGTTTCCAACAGTGGCTGTCCCTGAGTTTTCTGTTTTTAATAGAACTAGGAAATTGCAGAGACATTACCCTTCAGCTCTTAGAGCAGATTTGAGAGCAGGTCACAGACAGAAGGAACAAATGAGACAGCTTCTTGGGAGAATTTTAGTCATTAACTGTAAACATGTGATCAGATTTATAAGATAAATAAATGTACAGTTGACTTTCAGATGAATTATTATTAACCATAGGAACAAGTGAGATTTTTCTAGTAACAATGACCTCAAGAAAAGGCCTCCTTTGAGATGCAAACATGATAAGCATCACCTGCATAAGTTCCCGAAGGAATTCTGAAATCCAGCAGTGGCCTCCTGCAGAGACCACATCTGACTGAGTACAGGAACAAATTGTACCTGAGACACATCTTCTCATAGGTCCACTCATTTTAAGTTGCTGGAGTGAACTTTTTCTTCCAGCAGGATAAAAATCTGGTAAAAGAATTCTTCATTAAGCTCTTCCCTAAATGCGGTAACCCATCCGCAAAGCCCAGAACAAGCCACCCTTGTTAAGTGGAAACAGATAACGGGCTGGCAGGCAGTGCTGCCCCTTCTCCCTTCTCTCCCCTGAAAAACAATTAAAACAAAGTGTTAGAGCCAGCACAGAGGGACGAAGCTCAGTGCTTGCCTCATCTCAAGGGAATCAAGTTCTAAAAAAGATGTGATGTGTGTCTTGAATGTTACAGGACTTTTTGTCCCATAAATGCTCAGTGGTCAGAATGACAAACCCAGGTAACTAACTTTTAAAATAAAAGAAATCTTAGCTGCCATCCGGCTGCCCATCACAAGCCTTTGCACTATTAATTGGTATTGGTAGCTCGTGTATTTAAAGTGCTGTTTCCGGCACTGGGGAGACACAATGAGGAAGACAGGATGTTCCTGTGTCCTGATGCCATGGCAGGGAGATAACACAGGTGACAAGAGCAACTCAGCAGCTGGGAAGAGGCTGACATGTTTTGATATGTATTGAATTTGAAGTGCTGGAAGGATAACCAAATACAACTGCCCACTAGGCCCTTAGGAATGTGGACTGAGGTTCAAGAGAGAGACAGAGGGGTGTCCCTGCCTAATGGGGAGGGAGGTGGGAGGAGAAAGGGGAGAGAGATTTAGAATCAGAAGTTGCCTTCGTGAAGATGATGATTTGAAGTAGGAGAGGTGGCTACGGTAGAGTGAGAGAAGGGAAAGGAGGGAAGAGGTCTTGGGCATGCTCAGGGCTGAAGGGACAGGGTAGGGAAACTAAGCAGCAAAAGGAACAGACACGTGAGTAGTAGGAGAGACTCATAGAATATAGTGTCTTTTTTTTTTCAAATCAAAAAGAGCATTTTAGTAAGAAGGAAAAGAGACTAATTGAAAATTACAGGTCAGGTACAAGTGTCACATTGTCTCACATATATAACTTTACACTGAGCTGAACAACCACCCTAGGGAAGACATCATCAGCTGTCAGCATCATTGTCATGATCACATTCTATGGAAAAGTATCTGAGGCTCAAAAAGGTGACGTCCCTGGCATTATAGCAGTAGAACATGGCAGAACTGATGTTCAGACCTAAGTCTGTCTGACCCCAATGCCATGTCTTTCTCGCTGCACCATGGGTGTCGGTGGACAAAGAGCATCACATGGCCCCGAAAGCAGAAGAGGATGAGAACTAACCCAGCTGCTCAATTTGGTGTCATGGTGACCTTGCAGGAAGCTTGGTCAAGTCCTGGTGGGGAAGCCAGCTCGCACCAGGAGGAGTGAGCATTAGAACATAGACTGCCCTCCCGAGCCATTTGAAGTGCAAGGAGC